GATCTAGCATAAAGTTCTAAAAAACGGCCTAAAAACGGTCCGTTAACTAGCTGTTAACGGCCAGTTAATGGCGAACTTCTGTGTGAATAATAAATAGTCTGGAAACGTTCAGCAAACAGTCAGTAAATGGGTGACTGTTAACTGACCGTTTTCTGACCATGGACGTTTTCAGACGATCTTTAGACCGTGAAACGGCCACACTGAAAACGGCAAGTTAAGGACTTGTTTACTGGGCGTTTTTTGCCGTTTTCATAACGTTAACGCGCCGTTTTTTGTGTGACCGTTTACTGGAGATTAACTGGCCGTTTTTTTGGACCTAGGTCATTTTGCTCGGAGTAAAATAGCTTTTTATTTCCGGTAATAGTGACTGGAAGGCTCGAATGAAAGTAATTTCTGAGTTTCGTTGTTCTGTCACCTGTAGGTTCAGTTCCAAAACTGAAGAACTTCTACTAAACTTCGAACTCAGTTAAGTTTCTATTATTCGACATTGTTCGAGTTCCGTATTGATACAGATTCATTTTCTCAAACTTTTCATCCAAGAGCTATTTATTATCCATACTTTATATTTGAATGTTATTGTTGAGAGCAACACCTGAGTCTGAGTAAGTTTTTCGTGTGAATCACTGTGTCTTTGGTAAAAAGGTTTTGCATCTAATCCAGATCGAAATGCATAGAAATTGAAACGTTTCATCTTACGACATCCCCGACTGTAGAACATACACAAAAGTTAATTTTGCATCCCAAGGCATCTAAGAGTAGAACAGGTAACGACGCGGCGCTTCGAAGGCATAAGAAATCATTTTTCATGACCCGGTATTTCTTCGATGCAGAACGCCTGCAGTTATACGGGGTGTGAGTGAACGGCTAAAAGTACGCCGCGTACTCTTTCACAAGGGAACGGGTAGAATGTAAATAAATCAGCCTTAGTATGGGGTCTGGACCCCGTATAAAGTTTTGATACGGGCTCAGAACACCCCTTCTAAAACTTTTTTAAGCTCTTGGGTCATTTGTATTGATATGTGTAATTAGCCATTTACAATAGAATTGTTTTACATAGTTTGTGTAGAAATGGAAGAAAATCGTCTTTAGTAGAAAACTTTTTGGAAATTTCAGATATTTCAGGTTTTTTGCCCAAAAGTAAGGTGGTTTTCAGGTTTTCCTAAACATTTCAGGTATTTCAGGTGAAATCACACGCCTGTAATCAAGAACGATCCATCACCACAGCAACAAATATCAGATATTGTGAAATCAAACGATAACAATATCTCCATTGCAGCTGAATCGATCGTCTCCCTGTTTACACCGATGTTTCAAACATTTAGTGATCGTCTTACCAGCATTGAAGACAAAGTGAATGACCTTGAAAGATATAATCGAACATGGTGTTTGCGTTTTCACGGCTTTCATGAAGAAAAAAATGAAAATATCGTTGAAAAAATTACTTCATTTACAAATAAACAACTTGAATTAAAACTATCTCCAACAGCTAGTGAGAATTGTCACCGCATCGGTCCATTCAAAAATGGTCACAACCGTCCGATCATTGTACGTTATTTTAGTCGGCCTACTCGTCAAGAAATTTTTCGTTCAACATATCGATTAAAACAAAAAAACCCCAAAGTTTTTATTGTTGAAGATTTAACAAAAAAAACATTAGCTTTATTCCACTCAGCTCGTAACTCAGTTGAGCCATCTGACAGGAAAAGAATTGTTACCAGAAATGGTCATGTGTGTCGTAAACAAGTCGATAATTCATTGAGAAGAATAACAGCGCAAGATATCGTAGCCAAACACCAGCAGCAACCACCTATAACTTCTGAAATTATTAGTGTAATACCATCTGTAACACCATCTACAAATAATATCCATGATTCAGT